TCACTGAATAACATCGTATCTTTGAATACCAAGTGATTATTTCGTAACTTTTAAGGTTTCAAAAACGTTTTTGTAATATTGATACCTCGGCATTCCTGCTTTTTAAATTATTTATTAATCAATAACTGAAAAAAGCTTAGGATATTTCTTTTTCAGTTTTAAATATCCTACGTTGTACAAAACCATTCAAAACAAGAGTAGATTAAGGACGATTAACGTCCAAGATATTAAATTCGATATCTTTATTCCATAAAAAAAATATAGTTATGCCAAATCGCCAATTTAACATTTATGGTGAAAATAACGGTTACTCGTAGTCACCGCATCAATAGAGGTTTTGTCGGTATGTAAAATTAAAAAAAAAAGGTAACAGATAATACTGTGTGTCAACTATAATAGTTTTCAGAACAGTTAAAACAAAAAAAAGCCAGCCACAATAAAAATTAAGTATTACTGTAATTAGTTTTGAAGTTATTTTGTTTCTACTAACCCTATAATAGACTATGTCTGAAATAAAGTATTTAAATTTGAAAATCGCCTATGATTCTGTTCCTAAGAATAGTGCTATATAAAGCAAACGCGCCGTTACCAGACAAAATACAATTTATCAGATGAAGTCATAAAAAGGTTTTACAATATTTTGTCATTCGTTATCCTTTTACGAGTGCATTCCAATCCCTAAAAGCCTTCTCTATGCCCTTTACAGAATTCCATTTGTCAATGGATATTATACTTTTTAACTTTCAAAACATTTGTTGTCAATGATCTTTTGCTTATATATCTAACTTTGTTGCATTGTGATAAGGAGTTTACTGCTAGCAGAGGATTAATGTGTATGTCGGACATCGCTGTAAAAAAGTAGCATATGTTTAAGTTTTTTTTTTTAATTTATAAAAATTGCCATTTATAAAATAATTTTAAAAATCCGGTTAGTGGTTTAGGTATGACAGCTAACAAAGAAACTAATAAAATCACGTTCAAATTTATAATATTATATGTATAAGTGTGGTTATGTATGTATTTAGAAATATATTAGTATGTTTGTCAGCAATCCGGTTACCATAGTACAGGTTCATAGTAAATTTTATACGAGATTTAAAGGTTTATACTTATATTTATTTTATACTTATATTTATGTTATACTACCTGTGTTTGTTGGTTCATCATCATCATCATCATCAACAGCCTTAAACAGTCCACTGCTGGACATAGGCCTCTCCTTAGAAAGGAGGTTTTGGCCTTGTTAGTTAGGACAGATTTAATCACAAAAAATCATGGCATTAAGCAATTCCTCGATATAGTGTAAGATTTTCTGTAGGAAATGCAATATTGCCTGCCGTTAGTTTGACTTTTAGCTAATTAGGTGTCTTACACATTTAAGAGTTGGAGGTCTAGTAGGTATTTATTTTTTATCTAGATCTATACACTTTTTACTGCTTGTTTACGGCAAACACACGAATACACGAGCCAATTTAAATAATTTAGTTGAATCAAGGAAGTTGTTGTGTTTATTGCTAATGGAAGGAAATAGTTCCATAACTGAAGGAGAAATTATTTTTAATATACTTTTACAATTTAAATATTGACGTTTATGGTGTTTACTTAGCGTGTACTATATTATTATATAAAACTTAGACTTATCGGTACTCGATTTTTTAACTCTCTCTATTATTCTCACAAGACCGTGTAAGCAGTCAACGTTATGTTCAAAATTAAAATTTAACTAATGCAATTTAAAAAAATATTCTCTCACACACACGAAATACTTAACATTCAAGTACAAGCAATTTATTTTTTATAAAAAATAAGAATTAATTACCCTGATCTAGAATTATGATAGTATCTAGTCCGGATGTCTTAATAACAGCTGTTCCCGGATCTCTCCTATTTCAGGCGCAGAGTGGCACATGGTGTGGTTTTAGTCCTTTCGATTCGACACACCCTGGGCAGTGGACCATCAAACCACCACTGTCGCCAATGTCTGATTTACCATCTTCAGACGAATTTCTCAGTATCATTAGATTCTTGCCGCTAAACAAGGCTTCGGGCGATGGTAAAATAATAGGTCTTTACCTATAAAATTGCCGTTTTGTATGCAATAAGTGAAAGTACTTATTTTTTCAAACTTTTTTATTTCTGTTATTCGAAGTAATCATCCATGCAATCGACGCATCTTTGCCAACGCATTGGCAGTTTATTGATGCCCTTCTTGTAAAAATCAGCTGGACGGGAGGTAACAAACTCTTCAAAGGCATTTTGTACTGCCTCTCGGGAATTGAATTTTTTACCCACTAAAAGTTGTCTAAATTTTGGAAAAAGTAATAGTCGGTAGGTGCAAGGTCTGGTGAGTATGGCGGATGAGGGAGAGCTTCCAACCCCAGCTCTTGCAGCTTGGAGACTGTCTGTTGCGCAGTATGGGGTCGCGCGTTGTCGTGAAGGAGCAGTGGGGACGACCAATTGACCAAAGCTGGTTGCTTGGTACTCACATCTGGGGCGGTATACTATGAGGATCTTGTGTCAACGAGGGTGAATTGCCGTAGGTTTAGGCGATTCTGCCATACATATTATAGATGTCAAATATAGCTCACCTAGGACCCGTAATATTTTGTGGCCATGGTGCTTCCCTGTTTTTAAGGGTGTATGCCTATTTTACTTCATTTTGTCTCTCGCTTTGCTAAGGAGGGTAGTGGATTTACTGTATTTCCAACTCCTCCAATTTTCTTCTGATTAATTTAGTTGTGGGTTCCAAGATAGTTTAATTGCTTCCTGGGACTTCCCGAGTGTCATAACTCGGTGTGTTTGTGGGTCACTGCTGTGGATCCTGGTGCAGAAGTTACAGTGGTGAGCGTGTGGTTGGGATTAGTCAGTAATAAAAAACACCCTGATTCGGCGGCGCCGCACACCCCGGTGCAAAATATAAACCAATCATCAATCCATTTCACAGAGTTAACGACTCATAAACAGAGACACACACTCATTTCCAATTCAATCCCACAAATTTCATCTGATGTTATCCGTCAATAGGAATATTGATCCTCCTATTACAATATAAGGCGGTTTAAATAATAATACATACATATAGGTATAAATATCAGTCTTTATATATTTTTTAAAAGTTATTTGTAGTTATTTTAGTATCGGATTTTATATTGGCCGGCGCGTGCGTTCATCAACTTTTGCTTCTTCCGCAAATGATCGCAGAAAGTGCGCCGTCTAATAAATAATGCTTACTACACTGCAAAATTGCACATAATGTGTTTTTTTTGTTCATTTGTTATTTAGTTTTTGCAGATATGTGTGATTTGCTTTGTCGTAAGTACTTGCTACTAGCTTCAAACCGTTCGTCATTATCAATTACATACGAGTAGTTCCAATTTCTGAGAAGAATATTATAAAAATGCTTTTTATAATCTTCTAAAACCACTTTTTTTAAAACATCAGTAAGAATGTCAGGAATGTTATATCGCGCTGATCGCGTTACCTACGTAGTAAAGTATGATAAATGATTCCATACTCTATTTTATGGTCAGTAGGCTTCGTCATATAACTCTTAATGATACGCATCTGCATCTCCACTGTTGGGTACATAAACTCATTATGTCAATAAAATGAAATAGGTTGAGTCATGCGCTAGGATTCCTAATAGGTAAGTAGATCTTGTTTCATCAGAAAAAAGGGCTATTAGCAGCTTTATCGAAAGCAATCGAAAAGCCGCACTTAACGCTTTGACAGCTTATTGTAGTTAAAGTCACTAAATAGTTTGAAATGAACTAAAACTTATGTTCTTGGAACGTTTAAGAGCAGACGTTTCTCTTGGGTGTTGTCTCATATGCATTTTGAGTTTTAAGATGAGAATCGGTGAGATATCAGACCAATTACCTTTTCCATTTAAAAAAAAAAACAGATTGTTCTTTAGATCGGTTTATAGGAACCACGCATTTAAAACATCAGTTCAGAGATTTAATAATTGCTTTATTTAAACATTTTGCACATCATTATTAGAAGTTATTTGATGCACCTAGTGACCTTAAAATAAAGCTTAAACCCTCGGTGTCTCATAACATTGGCATTTATCATACTTTATCCTAACTCGTATATACTTTTTATTCTTACTCGTTGTAAAAAACACATTAGGAAAGATCTATTCTTATTTACATTTTTTTTTATCAAATACGTTTTCTATTTTATAAAGTCACGGTCTCTTGTTGACTCTTAGGTTTCCTGGAAGAGAACTCAATTATGAGTTAAGCTCGCCTTTGTGCCCACTATTCCTTAATGTATTTTTAAATAAATGTGTCCTTGAAAATAAATAAATAAAAGTCAATTACAAGGTTCTAATCAGTTCACATAATTAGGTAAACTGTTAGTTTTTTAAAATACTATAATTTATGAATAAACTAAACAAGTCTCAACTGATTAATGACATAAAATATTGTTGTACTGTAAAATAAAAAGCATAACATGAGCAACAATAGTGAATTGGATTTGATTTATTTTGTAAGAGTTTATAAAAATGATGTGTAAGTGTTCTAGGATTTTTTGCCTAAAAGGGAATAGACCCTCGTTTCTTACAAGGGTTTAAATTTCTTATGATTGCGGTACACATTTGAAATGGGTCAGCAGGTACGGAGTGCTCCCGCCGAGGTAAAGTGGTGGCTTGGTGTGTGTACGACGCGGCTGCGCTCATTCGCTTTTTGCCCACCTTTCGACTAACGCGCAGCCTCCACCATTGTTCGCCACGCGCATTTCTCTCACGTGGGAACTGTTGACTTCTTCGTGCTTTACCCGCCTACATTCATTGTATCAACAGCAGCGGACGCACGTCATGAAAACATACCTAACATTGCACATTTATGTAGTCGGTACAAGGGTGACTTTGTGATATGAAAACAGAGGATTGTCGGCATGTACAGTGATATTACAGGACGTTGCCTGGTGAAAGTTAAGTGATGATCAAATAGACATAGTGATACGGATCTTGTTCATAGATAAGAGGAGACATGGCTGTCACGCCGGTAAGTTATAGGGGATTTTAATGTAGTTATGTTACGTTAGGGTCCGGTTGAGAACCAGCGCTAGGCATATATCTAACAAATGCTGCACTAGATCTAATGTCAGAGGCGCGTGAGGAATGTACATTTATGTTTCAAGGGGGATTATAGTTTTTAAATTAAAGGTTTTTATTTCTAAACTATTGTGTTTCAAGTGCACAAGATATGTTTTTTCTTTCTTTCTTTTATGATCATGACTTACGAAACGAAAAATTATGAATGTAATATTTACAGCACTGACTAGTTCTGAGAAAGTGGCAAAAGTCGAAGTAAATTTCAGACATGGCATTAGGATTGCCAACGTTTATATTAGCCTTTAAAACTATAAAATTGATTGAATTGATTGATGACCTAGCAATAGAAATTATTATTCAATTATATTCCTAAATTATTATAGTTAATTTAAAATATGACAACCCAGACGCTCATTTTAGTGTATCGTAAATATCTGTTGTGGTAATTTTGTTTATCCTTATCAAAATACACTTTATCTCGAATATCGCTTGCTTTTGACCTGGAACTTACCTTATAGATAAAAAAATTAGTAAATTTCAAAATCTAGTATTATTTGTAAGTGATTTACCCCATAGTGAAACAGATGTTTACCTTTTAAGTCGTATCTCAATTCCATTGAAAACGCTTATAGATATGATTACGGCTTCAATGGTTACTTCATTTCTTTTTTTACATTAGTGTCTACTGACCGTTTCTGGCTTCGAATGGAATTATTTAGTAGTCAGTATTAGTATGTTAATTAATAAAGCTTTAATGAAGCTTAAGTGAACGACTATAAATCGAAGCTGGATTTTCGATCATTTGATATTTATATCCACGAATAAATGAGTCGAAATTTAATTAAAAACTTAGAAGTTCTTTAACATTTCGGAAGTCGTATTCAAATGTAAAGCAATTCTGTAAATGTTTTAAATTAAAATTAAATTTTATGGAAGACCTATTTTCATGAAATCCCTATTTAAGTATAAGCTTCTGACATTTAACTACATAGAGTGAAGTAAATTAGACGAAATAAGATAACCAGAATTTCACAAACGAATTAGAACTTATGTAACTTAAGTTCCATCTTAATTTACAACTAATTGAACCTTTCTGTGTCTAAGTTATTTTCATTTTTCAAATGTTCATATAGGGCAATAAATGAAAACTTGTATACATATTATGTATATCATACATAATTTTTGCGGTATAAATATATAATATAAATATAATGTGGTATACTTAACATTTTTTTATAATCTAAATAAAATACAAGGTACTGAATACAACTACCTACTTAAGATAAGGACAAACAACATTTCAATGTAATAGTTTTTGTTTTTATCTAACTAAACAAAAAAGTTTGAAAAAACCTTATAGTCAACCATTTCGTATTTTAAATAATAACAATGTAAATCACACATGACGTAATTTTCACTTAAATTCGAAACGCGAATGAAACGAAGTTTGAAACAACTTCGTCACCGTATTTGCGGATAAGCTCACTTTCCATTTATAAGAGTACGAGAAAGATGACTGTTTACACATAATTAGCATGTACGAGTCTAATTTGCAATTATCTAACTAATGTTAGAACTATTTACTCGTTTATGCCACAACATGCTACTATATACAGACTAAAGTTAATAATTTATGACATAAGTTCACCGAGGTGGACAGAAACAAAAAATAAATGCTAGAACATATATTATTGATCGCAGATACGTGACCGTCTGATAATACTTTATTTAATTTTCATTTCATTCATTTTAAAATAGGTAAAGGTAATGACGATGTAGGTACCTCTCTCTCTTCATCTTGTCAGCCGACTTTTCCATTAGTTATTGGCAACACTTAGTGTAGTCATTAAAAAAAATGGGAATATAATGTTCCTAACATATACTATTGTTATTAATGATTACTGAATGAATGACCGACCGGTCTAGTCACTGTGGTGAACTAATAATAATTGAGTGATGAGCACGATCTGTAATATGTATAATTTGGACATACTTAATATATGTACATATATTAATGTAAGCATTATGATTTCCATAGTACAGGCTGTACCTAGAATAGATCACAATGTTTTGCCAGGTGTATTAAGCGATTGTAAAAAATACGGCCAAACTAAAATTTCTGGGAAAACACATCTAATACATGGGTAGCTTTTAATGGCTGGATTGTGATTGAATAATTTATTTTGTCGGCTTTAGTGTAGTTGTCTTAGAATAAATAAACTACACTAAAGCTACTTATATATTTTTTAAAACAAAATGCTTTATGGTATTATGAGGGTCAAGTTATAGCAATAACTCAGACAGATACTCCGGACATCTCTTTCTTGGTAGGTATTTGATCTTTAATCAGTAACACAGTAATTCATCATTGCAGTATTGATATATTGGTGGTACGTAACAAATTTTTACTCGTAAAGTGCGTTTTATTTATGTCTATGATATTTCGTAAAGGTTTTAAAATGGGTTTAATACTTTTTTATTATTAATATATCTTCTATACAAAGACGTAAATGTGTACATTGATTATTCTTTTATCTTTTTTTAACTGCTTTCAAAAAAGGAGGAGGTTCTCAGGTAAGGTTGTAATTTTTAAAGTTGTTGAGTTCTAAACTTATGACGCACTGCATGTATGATAAGATATTTTTTTTATTTGATAGGATGCACTTCCCGTTTGGTCCTAAAAGGGATGTACGTCGTCCATCCATCAAATTTGCAGAAAAATAGAACCCCTAATTGTAGAAAATTAAGCAATGAATTAAGGAATGTTGATACTTTTTAAAGTTATTTTAAACGTTATGTAGTACAACTTTGATTACCGATACCGATAAAGGAAGAGTTCTTTTTTTTATTTGAAAATATCTGCAAATTTATTACAAAAAGCGGACTTAATGTATACACGTATATCATGCATAAACGCATATAGGCATTTTCTTCCTTATACGAGTAATATGTATAATATTCCAATAGTCCTTAAACTGTGACAATCGCTTTAGCTGCATAGTTTAACACCTTAGGCTAGTGTCATCGGTATTCCAAAGCAAACATTAAACCTTTTTTTGTGACGTTGATGAGATTCCAAAGAGGGCTTTGGAAATACTGATAAGTTTGTTTGTGTTTGTAGTTAACACGGAAAAGTTTTATGACTAAGGGTAACTCTACAATGCTTTGCAACGTAAAATATAAATATTATTTGCTGATTGACTAACTGATTGAAAGCTCTACTATGTAGCGTTTCCAGCTAACAGTTAACATGATTATGATTTCAATGATTGATAAATTTTGTGACTAGATTTATAAACAGACAACGAATATGTTTCAAGTTTACTAATTTATTTGTTTAAATATTTAATTGGCATTGGTCCTAGTCTTTAAAAAAGTATTTTTATAATGTTACAAAAGCTTTCAACAATTTGAACAGTTTTTATCAAACAACATAGTTTATGGTACTTGCCAGTTTTCGACTTAGTGCCTCAACTTTTGGTGAAATAAAACTGGAAATTTATTCCAATAACTGGGAACACAGGGATGAAAAATAAGAAAAAAAAGTAAGTGTCTTGAAAAAAATACTGAACTAAAAGAAATAGAAACAAATATTTTTTATATTTCACACATTTCACACACGGCCGTCTGATCCCAAACTAGGCATCCATAGGATCCTGTACTATGGTAACCAGGCTGCTGATAAACATACTCATATATTTCTAAATACATACATTATTTTAGATAAAGTACACCCAGACACAAAACAAAATATTTTTTCATCACACAATATTTGTCCTGGTTGGGAATCGAACCCTTAGGGTCACTAACCACTAGACCAACAGGCTCGTCAAATCATATGGGACGAGCCTTCATTGGTCAAATCGAATCACTTATTGGTGAAATCAAATAGGACAAAAAAGATAGAAATGACGTAGTTGTTAAACTATTCACTTTTTATTTTGATTAGATGATGGTAAAAAAAAAGCATAGGAAACTACTCTATTACATAATGAATTCAATATGGTAGTGTAGTTCGTGACCATTAACATATGAACAGAACTTGATTGATATTTTTACATAATCAATAATGTAGTTTAATAAAAATAAATGAGTGAATTCCAGAACGAGCTTCGTTATGAATGAAATCTAAGAAGTGGTTGTATTTGCAGGTCTTAAAGATGAACTGATTACTGGATTTAAAAAAAAATGACTGAATAAATAAGTAAGAAAAGTAAATACAACTTTTTTTAAGGTAGAGTACCAGTCGTCTGGGGTTAAAGGAATGGCAGCAATAAGGTGCTGATTACACTATTTAATTTTCTTTCCTTACTCAACTGAGAACGAGCGATTAGTAGTTCTAGTATATAGCATACGTAATGCAAAAGCTCTGTGTCTGGGATTAGGATAGCTCTCAGGTCGAGCAGATTCTATATGAAGAATAAAATCTACTGAAAAATATTCATCTTCAAAATCAATCGAATGGGAGGCACGACTTTAACAGATAGAACAGGATCATTGGCTTAAAACTGGTTCTGTTTGTACCATTTAGACGAGGCCTACATAGGACAGAAAAACGAAAAAATTGGACATCTTTGATAATTTATAGTCACCTATAAATGCGAGAAATTAAGCAAACCGTTAGTCTAAAAGTTGAGGCATAGTGTCTCATATCTCTGTTCTATACTACAACATAGTCAATGGAACATATAATGTGGGATTTATTCTAATATTTTCCCTAAAAACTTTCTGTAAGTCGTCATCACTGTTTACTTACACAGAGGTGTGAGACGTCTTCGAGTGTTATTCCAAGAATTTTCGCTTTCGGCCTTTACTTGCCTAGCACTCAAATGGTGTTGTTGACTTTAAAATATTATCCGGATTTGCGTGATATATGTAGATATATATTTAAAAAAATATGATAAATCCAAAGCCGCTCAGTACTACTGATTAGACGATGATGAATATTCA